AGACTGGTTCGTCAAAATTTGGTAATTTTTGAAGAAAATTTTGGTTAATTTTCGGTTCAAAATCTTTCCACTTTTTTTGCATCAAAATTTTTTAATTTTGACTTTTTCTCCATTTGCTATATATATGTTGTCCTTTTTTTTAATCTCAAATTTTTTATCAGAATAATTCAGTATTGTTATATATTTTCTATTTGCTATCCCAGGCTGCACAATTACTGCTTCTTTGGCTTCTTTGGCCATGGTTCCTATGTAAAGATCTTCTTTTATTAGTTTTCAGATCTTAATATGCTCTATAGTCATAAGTGGTATATCCATTTCTTTATTTGCTAATATTTGGTATTTAGCATTTTTTCCTTCCCATATGGTTAGTAATATGATATATCTAATATGAGTAGGATATTGTTCTTTTATTTCTTTATAGAAATTAAAGTTTATATCTGTTGTATCAGATATATTTCCAGCTACATCATATCCTTGCTCTAGTTCTGATTCTTCATCTATTTCTGTTTCATGTTAAGCTAGATCTTCTAAATCTGCTTCTTGTTTTGCATTTTCGATCCAGGCTTGTGCTGGGTTTGTGTGTTTGTATGCCTCTCTCCAGTCATTATCTGTTAATGTTGACTGTCCTGTTGGTACTGGGTATAGGACTTTTTGTCTTTTCCATTTAGATTCTATGGTTCTGGTTCATTTAGTTTCTCTTGGTTTATATCGTAGGGATGATCCTCCTGCTTCATATTCATCATTTGGATCATATAATTCCCTTTATTGATTGTTATTCTGACTATAGTTGTAGTTATTTGTATCTTTTTGAATATAGTTATCCAATTCAGCCATTTGTTGTACATCTTCTTGTGTTAATTGTTCTTGTTCTGTTTGCCTGAATAGCTCTTGTCTTTGTTGATTCTCTCTCTTAAATTGTTCTAATCGCAGATTTCTTACTGAAGATTGATTTGAGAGTTGCAACCTTTGTCTTTTATGACCATATTTTGGTAATACTGGTTGGTCCTTATCACTTGTTGGTGTATAAAGACTGCTTGATTCTGATATTATATTAGTTGGTTGTACTTCTTTTATTAGTGGTGATAATTTATGTTGATGTTGCTTAGAGTGGGATAATGATTGTGTCGATTGCATTGAATTTTTTCTACTTAACATCTGTTGTGCAGCGCTTAATGTGCCTTGCACTATTCCTTTTGCTTTATCAAAGAAGGTTGGTGATGTTGGTAAACTTGGTCTTGTTGTTGTTCTTGATATTGGTTGTTCTGGTATTTTGGAGTATTGATTTTTATCTTGTTAATTTAGCCATTCTAATGTTTGTCTAAAGTTTTTGTCTAGTAGCCATCTATCTGCTATTTGTTCTATTTCTTGCAGTTCATTATTGTTGGTAGATATTCTTCATAATATGGATGTTTTGGTAGTAATGTTTCTAGTAATTCTAAGCCTTGTCTTCTGGCTCGTTGTTGTTCTTGGAATATTTGTTCCCCTTTGTCTTCTTCATCATACATTTTATTTAAGTTTTCTAGAGATACTCCCAATAGTTTTCTATATTTTGCTTGATATTGTTTTTGTAATGGTTCACTTTCACATTGTTCCATTTGTCTGGTGAATCTTTCCATTAATATTCATTGTTCATACTCTCGCATTGCTTCAAAATCTTTTTTGTTCAAGTTTAGTGCTTGGTTAGTTGCATATCCATATTCTTCTTCTATATCTTTTACTAGGTCTCTATTTTTCCAAAGGATAGCATATTTTGTTTCTGTTAATGCGGATATTGTTTTGTATAGATAAGCTTTTTTGTCTTCAGCTGTTTCTGTTTCCAATATTTTTCTATTTGTGTCTCTTTTAATTTCTTGAATATGCTCATCAGTTTGTTGTCTTCTTAATTTGGAAACATATTTATAATTTGTTTCCATACTATCTAATATTGTTTTAGTTGTCTTAATCCTGTTTTAATTCTTGGATCTTCTTGTTCCTTTTCTAATTGTAAGATCCAATCTAATTGTGACAATTGTATCTTAATAAATATTCCTATTTTTGGTGTTTTGCCTTTGCTCCCTTCTTGTTGATTAAAGGTAATATTTAAGCTTTTAGCTTTTCCTTTCTTATCTTTTTTAGTATTGTCTTTTCCTATTACTTGTTCTCTAAATTGATTTATTTCTATTTGTGTGGCTTCCAGATAAAGGTGATTTAGTTTCTTTTCTTGTTTATTTTGCGGTGCTTCATGTTCTGCTACAACTGTCATTCGTTGTACTTGTTCTGCAAGTAATGTTACTTCTGGGTCATCGAATTCCATTCCCAATAGAATTGTTATTCCTGATGATCCTGGTTCTTCATATTGGTTTTTGTGTTCTTTTAATTCTTGGTCTTTTCCTTTAGACCATTCTTCTTGAAGTGTTTCTTCTTGAAATGTGTCTCCTGCCCATTCTCTTAGTTTAGAGATTTCATGTATTTGTGCTATTTGATTAGCTATTTTATTTGATAGTATCTCTACTACCGCAGCATAGACCTCTTTATTCTGTATAATCATTTAATATACTTTGTGTTGTATACTTGCTTGTGAATCCAATATGTGCTCATGTTTGACCATTCCTCTGCCGAATATCACTTCTGGCAGGCTGTTGTTCATGTATACTAACATGATTTCTTGTCCGTACATTCTTAGTATATTTCGATATTCATCGATTCTTTTGCCTTGCCCTGCAGTATACTAGTACTGCGTATCGAAGCATATGCCTATTCGCTTCTTTAGTCTTGCCTTATCTTTATATCATAACTCTTGACTTGTACTATTACTATATCCATAAGGTCTGAAATAGTTGCACCAAAGCAATTATTGCTGGCTAAGTTTTCTAATAGTAACCCGATATCCCATCAGTTATTGTTTATTATGCGTAATGTTTTATTAATATTCTTGATCACGTCTGATCGTTTCTTGTCTCCAGCTAAGATTCCTATATGTATTACAGCCCATCTAATATTTATTTCTTGTGCTCTTGCAAGCTCTTGTAATATTCTATTTATTTTCCAATTTCTCTTACCACTGTGCTCATTCAATGGTTGATTAATATACAAATCTAAAGTAATATATAGTACCATTTTTAGCCCAATATTCGTATTGCCCATTATGATATTGTTGTCTTCTGTTTTATCAGATTCGCCATTTTGTAATTCAGCATATCTCTTTTCTTGTTCATTTTTGAATTGCCCATTTAATTTTTTATACGTTAGAAAGATTTGAAGATATTAGAGTCTGTAGCTAAAGCAGTTCTTACTATTTCTGACCATCTACCATCACAAGTGGTCCCTATTAATTTGTTTCTTCGTTTATTTCTTTCTTCTTGTTTTTTTAACAGATCAAGTTGTTTATTAAATGAATAGGGTATTAATTCACTGATTAATTTTTTATATTTGGGATTATGATATTCTTGTTCTACCTATTTTTGGGTACTGGGTGCCTTTCTTAATGTTAGTTCTTGGTTACCAGTATGGTTTGGCACTATTCTTTGTTGGTTGTGGTTTATTTTAAATACCACGTTGGGCACCTTTCACAGGTTTTTTTCTGATTTTTGAGGGTATCCCATTTTTCAAGATATTTGGCTAGCTTGGACTCACTTAATCTCAAGGTTGTAGGGCTACCCGAGAAACTAGATCATTACGAATAGAGACTTGATCATAATGTCTAAACCCCTTAGGAATTTGATAGTTTTCATCAATATCTTGATAATTTATTGGTTTACTATGTATGAGAATGATGTGTCTTTTTCAATCTTTGGATATATTTAATCATGCTTGATCAATTTCAGAGAGTAGAAGGTATGCTTGGTTTCCTTTAATGATTGTTACTTTGAGGTTTTCTTTGTATCTGTCTACTTGGAAAGGTACTGTAATCTTTTTATAGTTTTTAATTACTTTTCCTCTAGGTAATTGTGCTGTCCTGGTAGGTGGTTCTTTCAATAATTTTAGTAGATTATATTCTTGTACTAAATCTAGTCCTATAACATTAGCACTTGCTCCTTCATCAAGTAGTACTTTGATTGGTTGATTATTTATTAATGCTATAAAGTAATATGCTTTTTTTTCTTTTAGTTCATTTGGAACTATTTGTGGATCTTTCACAAATTTATACTCTTTGAGTAAGTATTGGTAATCAGGATTTTCTGATGCTTTCTTTTTCATTTTCTTTGATAAATTTTCTTTGGCAGAACATATTGTATATTGGTTATTTAAATATGATCTTTTATTTAATAAATTTGGATTAATACATTTGAGATTATTGATATTGTGTAATTGATACATATTTATATATTCTCTAG